AATATGAATGGGAAGAGATGGCGGCTCAACCTCAGAAAGAAGTGGAGATCGACCCAGAGGGATTGGGTGGAGAGGGAGGTGGGAGGGGGGACCGGGATGGGGAATACATGTAAAAAAAAAAAAAAGATACACTATGGTTGTGAAAGAAAAAGAAAAAAAAGAAAAGAAAAAAAAAGAAAAGAAAAAGAAGAAAAAAAAAGAAAAAAGAAAAAAGAAAAATAAATAAATAAATAAATAAAATGTAAAAAAAAAAAAAAAAGAAGTGGAGATCTGCAAAACCAAGCAGAGAGGTGCCCAGTCACGCCTGAGGGGCTAAGACAGCAGATCCTGCAAGTTCTCATTCCCAGGAAAAAATGTGTTTTTTGTTGGAAAATATTGTGATATAACACTAAGCGTCAGACATGACGGGAGGACCTGAGAGCCCCAGATGCTGAGGGTGGGAGGGTAAGCTGACACAGCCTCTAGGAAACCAAGTTAAGAGCACCCCTGGGACCCAGAAGCCCCGCTGCGAGGGGTCCACCCCAGACTCTTACACAGGCTCTCAGGAGAACAAGTTTCAGGGGGCAGCAAACAGTTGAATGCACAGACAGAAAATGAATAAATGTTCACTGAAAGGAAATTCAGACAATGTAGAAATATATCATAAACAGTAAGTACATAATAAATAATAAAGAACCACGCGGACATAGAGAACAGACATGTGCACCCGGCAGGGGAAGGAGAGTGTGGGAATTGAGAGAGTAGCACTGAAACGTATACATTATGTTTACGTGTGTAAAACAGCCAGCCAGTGGGAAACTGCCATATAACACAGCTCAGCCCAGCGCTCTGTGCCAACCTGGAGAGCTGGGGTGGGGTGGGGGGTGGGAGCGAGGTTCAGGAGGGAGGGGACGTATGTATGCCTAAGGCTGATTCATGCTGATGTACAGCAGAAACCAACACAAAGTTGTAAAGCAATTATCCTCCAATTAAAAAATATTTTTAAAGTATCTCCCACAGTCACATGTATACACACAAAAATTCCTTTGCACATTCATAGACACAAATTTCTTTGTTTGATGACCTCATACTACACATGCTTTTAGCAACCTGTTCCACTTAACAGTATATAGTGTTATACCAACATCATTTTTCTCAGCTGCACAGTATTCCGTTACAAAGACTACCATAATTTATGTAACCAACTGTTAGATACCAAGCTTACTTAAACATTTTCACTATTAAACAGAACTGCTCTGAACTTCATTGGTCATGCCTCTTTGCTTCCTCTTTGAAGTAATAAAATTTGAAGCAAAGAATAGATAACGTAGTAAACAATGTGTGTACCTTAGAAATGGAATTGCTTGATAAAAAGTATATACCTTTCTTTGCTTCTAAGTTTAACAGTTTCCTTGGATCCATATTCTTTCTGCTGTGTGGTAAAGTGACTCCTTCAGGGAAAACAGACACGTGGGCTGGGGTTCTATATAAGCAATAACACGTACTACCCTCTTCCCCTCTTTTCCGTATCCATCGTCATGGAAATGGTGGCCCCCATCCAAACAAACTCCTACCTCACAGGCTCCCTGCACCAGCCACATAGCTCATCACAGAGACATTCTGGGAAGCACCAACAAGGCAAAATACTTAGGGGTTCATTCATTTGCTAAAAATATCCGTATTAGATGCCAGCTTGGAGCCCCAGGAGGGGTTAGAGAGGCACAGATGAGTACGGGCCAGTCTTGTTCTTAGGAGCCCTCCCCCGGGACCTCCAGTGACGCTCTTGACTCCCGAGTAGAAAATTCAAATCTCGAGTGTGCTCTGGGAGCACCAGGGGGCCCTGGCTGGGGGGCTTCTCAGAGGAGGTGATGCACAGGCAGGCAAAGAGCAGTGAGCTGGTCAAGAAGTCTTGACGGCGGAGGGGACTTGACGAAGATGACCAGAGTGACATGTGGTCCTAAGGCCACAAGATGCCCTGGAGAACCCCCGGACGTCCAGCAGGGCTGGGGCAGCCGGCAGGGCTGAGATGGAGGCTTGAGAGGGAGCGGGACCCCAGGTGCAAAAAGCCCGCTGGTAGGTACACTAAGGAGCCCGTGCCTGCGGGGATGGGTGGGCAGAAGGGATGCGCGGGAGTGGAGCCAAGGTCGGCTGCGGGAACACCAGCCTGAAGGGCACTGCTGTGACTCTGGAGACAGAGCGAAGTGAGCCGGAAACACCGGCAGGTGGGGGGCGCCCCGCGGGAGGGGTGTGGCCCAGGTGAGACGTCTCAGGGAGACTGGGGGGCAGAATGGCCAGGACGTGTTCACTGCAGGCAAAGGAGCTGGGAGGGTGCCCAGCCAGGGCAACAGGCCTTCAAGGAGCCTGATGAAGGCAGCCTGCAGGGGCCCGTGGAAAGGTCACAGAACAGACCCTGGGCTTGCACTGTTCTAGAATCTACTGCATAACTTACTGCACTCCCTGGGCTTTCCTGGTGGTTCAGACAGTAAAGGATCTGCCTGCAATGCAAGAGATCCAGGTTCGATCCCTGGGTTGGGAAGATCTCCTGGAGGAGGGCATGGCAGCCCACTCCAGTATTCTTGCCTGGAGAATCCCCAGGGACAGAGGAGCATCGTGGGCTACAGTCCATGGGGTCACAAAGAGTCAGACACGACTGAGCGACAAACACTGTCACTGAGATGCAATTTTCTTCTCCACCAAGGGGCACATGGGGCCCGACTGTCTACCATCAAGGCATTTCCCAGCTGTCAGATGCTGTAAGTTCCCGCCCACATCAGAACCGGGGTGCCGTCTGTCCCCCCTGGAAACTTGACCCCACAAGAAAGCCATAACCGGCCTCTCCTGAGAAGTCAGATATGCTCTCTGCAGTCAGCTCACTGGCCAGCAAGGGCCCATCCTCTCCAGCTCAGATGCGCACCCTCACATCTGGCCGCAGGCTGCTGACTATTCTCCCCCCTCTCCTGGGTAATAAGGAGCAGACTGGCAAAATAGTTCAAATACCTTCTGAAAAAGTACACCGCCTTGTGGGCTGGGCAGCCTATTTTGAGCAAAATGTTTCAAACCCCCAGGCTCAGAGCAGCTCTGGGGCATCCATGCTCAAGGCAACTGAGAGATCAGGAAGGCAGTAAAGGATGAGGGCCGCATCCGATGATGGCCAGGCCGTGCCTGGGCACGGGACAGGACGTGCCCACCCTCCAGGACGGTCTGCTGAGTGTGGGAGCCACCAGCCTGACGTGAGAAGGGCCCTCTGGAGGATGAACAAGGTTGGGGCTGGGGGCGGCCAGGAAGGGAAATGACCTCCTGGCTCCGATGTGCAAGAAAACGACCCAGAGGAAGGGGTGTGGGAGCCGGGCCCTGCAGTCACGGCAAGCATGCGGCAGGGCCAGGCCCAGGAGCGGAAAATCCACAAGCTGGCAGCCGGGAGTGTAAGGAGAGAAGTGACAGGCGGTCCAGAGGGCTGGCGGATGGCCTCAAGGTGCTCTGGGGCTAATTTCAAGGTGCCCGAATGCCACACCCAGGTAGTGGCTACAGAGAGCCACTGAAGTTTGCAAGCAGAGGAAGGGGGCGCAGGGGGAATCATGGGATCAGCAGAGAGGAACAATGTGGCCGGAGCCAGGAGAGGGGACGGAGGAGGGGAATGTGGGCCCACAGTGCCCCCTTCTCCATTTTTTCAGGACCACAGGCAGATTTAATCCTGTGGACCCACAAAGAAACACCTTGCCTCCAAGTCACACAGCGACCAAGAGCAAACCTCAAGGGACAGCTCCCAGACCTGCCTTTGCAGATCTGGTTTCTGCTCCTGCCCTGAAAATGCTCGCAAGCCCCTGGCCCCAAACCTCCAACAGCTGATCAAACACCCAAGCACTCTGTGTAAACTCAGAAGGGGAGGGAACAGGCTGTGAAAAACTGACACACATACGCCCAGATTTCCGGGAGGCCCGCCTGAGTAACAGGATACATTTGGTTCATTTCCTGCAAAACGAGAATTTCCCAGCCATGGGGGGGAAATGCAGCCCTCCCTGCATCGCCTGCAGCCCTCTCCAGCGCCCTACTCAGACACCTTCTCCCTGAACCCGAGCAACCTACAACAGCCGCTCTGAGATCTCTCACATGCCTGCGAATCTTCACTGCGATAGTTCATTCAGGCACAGAGGTAGGCAGAAAGTCACTGAGGCCACCAACGCCCACCAAACGTCCTGGAGCCCAGCTCCAACTCTCTGGCTCAAAACAGTGTGCCTCCAACCGGTATCCTGGGGTCAGCCCACCCGACAGACACTGCTTCTTTTGGTAGCAGAACCAAAGAAAAGAAAAAAAGCAGGTGGCACGTCAGGGACCCTCAAAGGAAACAGAGGGTGGGGTAGCAAGGTGAGTAAGGTGGACCTGGGTTCCGATCCTACTTCCACCATTGAGTTTACTTGGATAAGCCACCTTGCCTCTCCTGAAAATGTTTCATCTGTGAAATCGGTATAAAAATAAGATCTGTGTAAGGCTGTCAGAATTCGAAGCACTACTGTTAGTGTTAAGCATTAGTGGAAAGTTAAAAGGAATTCAATATTTTATATATGTATAATTTTACGTATACATATGCATGTATTATGGGCCTCCCCGAGTGGCGCTAGTGGTAAAGAATCCACCTGCCTATGCGGGAGACCTAAGAACCGCGGGTTCAGTCCCTGGGTCGGGAAGATCCCCTGGAGGAGGGCATGGCCAACTACTCCAGTCTTCTTGCCTGGAGAATTCCATGGACAGAGGAGCCTGGTGGGCTACAGTCCATGGGGTCGCAAAGAGTAGGACATGACTGAGTGGCTGACCACATATCTGTATATATACATATGGGTACATGGATCGTTCAAACGGGAGAAAACTCCTAGTGTGCCACAGGGAAAAAGCCTGCGGGGCAGGGCCGGGGGTCCCAGGGTAGCACAAGCGCAGCCAGGCGCCGGGCCGGAGCGTCTGATGTGGGCGCTGATGCCACGGGCGCGCGGTGACAGCGGGGCGGCGGGGCGGCGGGGCGGCGGACCCACCTGAAGACTCGCAGCAGCAGGCAGGCGATGAGGAGGGCGGTGAAGGCGCACGCCACGATCACGGCCGCCTTCAGGGTGGGCAGGTCGCGGAGCAGGCTGGAGATGCGGGTCACCAAGGCGTCGCCGCTGCTGTTGGAGCCGCCGCCGCCGCCGCCGCCGCCGCCGCCGCCCGCCGCCTCCCCGGACCCGGTGCCGGTGGCGTTCCCGGGCCCTGGGCCGGGCGGCGGCCGCGGCTGGAGCTCGGCTCCGGGCTGCGGAGGGCCGGCGGACTGGGCTCTGCTGGCGCGGGCGGCGGGCGCGCCCAGGAGCGCGAGCAGGAGCAGCAGCGGCAGTAGCCGCGCGGGAGGCGGCGCGGCGCGCATGGTGCGGGCGGGCGGCGCGGGGGCCGGGCTGGGCGCGCGCGGCGGAGCCCCGAGTCCCGCAGCAGCGCCGAGGCCTGCCCCGGGTCCTCCCGCGGCGGAGCCAGGCGGCTGCGCGGTGCTTGGCAGGAAGCTGCGGCGCCCGGAAGAGTCCGCGCCGCCCGCGGCCGCGGCCGCCACCGCCACCAACACGTTGCACCGAGTCATTCGACGGGCCGCGGCCCCACGTGGGCGGGGCAGGCCACCAGGCCGGGTGCGGGCTGCGCTGTTCCCCGGGGACCTGGGACACCCTGGGAGAAGTAGCAATCGCCAGGAGCTGTGCGGCACGTTGCACATTTTATCTATTTGATATCATCAGCCCCCTTAGGAGACAGGTATTGCTGTTACCCTTCTTTAAGAGTTGATTCAACTCCCAGCAACTCAGATTGTGCCAGACAGAGAATCAAAGACTTCATTCTACAGAGGCGGAAACTGAAGCCTCCGAAGTGAATGAAGTGTGCGGGCGAATGCCCTGTGCACTGCATGCGTTTATAGTTCAGCATCTGCCCAATTAACTTCTTTGTTCGTAAGAGTTTCTTATCTCATGGCTTCGATATTTCAGACATTTTTCACCTCTGCTTCTGAACTGGATTGTGCTGCGTGCTAAGTAGCTTCAGTCGTGACTGATTCTTTGGGACCCTATGGACTGTAGCCTGCCAGGCTCCTCTGTCCATGGGATTCTCCAGGTGAGAATACAGGAGTGGGTTGCCAGGCTCTCCTCCAGGGGATCATCTTCTCAACCCAGGGATGCAACCCAGGTCTCCCGCATTGCAGGTGGATTCCTTACCATCTGCGCCCCACAGAAGCCCAGTGTGCATTCCTGCCTTTGTACCTTTGCTGTAGAATAGTCTTCCTCCTAGGTTGAAGTTTCAGCCCCCAGGAAGTAATTGGCTTGCTGCCTCTGGTTTGCAAGCTAGATGATACTTCAGTGGAGAAAGATAGTTGTGGATGTTCCAGTGTGAGGCCCAAAGGTAGGAACTGATGGAGGGCACAGAAGGCCTTCCTGGATCACTAGGAACTATCCTGCAGGCCTCAGGTCCCTCCTTTCAGCATAAGGCTGGATCCTGGCCAGAAGCTCTCTGGTGACATGACAAGTATTCAGTGATCTTAAACAGCTCACTCCTGGTCCTATTTTATAAAAAAGCAACAGGTAAATAAAATATAGTACAATGTATCAGTTAGCTATTGCTGCCTAACAAATTATCCCCAAACTTCTCAGTGTAAAACACATACACATATTTTATCAGGGTTTCTGTGGTTTAGGAATCTGAGCAAAGCTTAGCAGGGTCCTCTGCTTCAGGGTCTCTCACAAAGGTACAGTCAAGGTGTTGGGTGCGGGGGTGGCTGCTGGTGGCTGGAGTCTCATCTGAAACTCCAGATGAGGAGGATCCCTTGGAGGGATCAGCATCCAAGCTCAATCAGTGGTTTTTGGCCAGATTCAGCTCTTCATGAGCTACTGGACTGAAAGCCTCAGTTCCCCACTGGCTGTTGACCAGAGCTTGCCCACCATTCTTACCATGTGGCCTTTTCAGCATGGCAGCTTGCCTCATCAAAACGTGCATGTCTCGGACTTCCTTGGTCCAGTGATCATGAGTCCACCTGCCAGTTCAGCGGCCACAGCTTCCACCCCTGGTCTGGGAAGATCCCACGTGCCGCAGAGCACCAAAACCCACGTGCCACAACTGCTGAGCCCAAGCTCTAGAGCCTGCAAGCCACAACGACTGAACCCACATGTCCTAGAAACCATGCTCTGCCACAAGAGAAACCATCGCAATGAGAGGCCAAAGCACCAGAACTAGAGAGCAGCCTCCAGTCACTGCAGCTGGAGAAAGCTGGTGTGCGGCAGCAAAGACCCAGCACAGCCATAAATAAATAAATTTTTTTAATATGTAAGTCTAGAAGGCAATGGAGAAACTCTGTTAGCAAGACCAAAATCATTGTCTTAGGAAGCCTGACCACAGAAGCGACATCCCAACACCTTTGCTGTATTCTGTTGGTTGGAAGCAAGTTACAGATCTCATCACAAGGGGAAGGGGATATACAAGGGTGAGAGTATCAGGAAGCAAGGATCATTGGGGACATCTAAGAAGCTGCCAGGAGACCCAGGTTCAACCCCTGGGTTGGGAAGAGCCCCTGGAGAAGGGAATGGCAACCCACTCCAGTATCCTTGCCTGGAGAATTCCATGGACAGAGGAGCCTGGTGGGCTACAGTCCATGGCGTCGCCAAGAGTCAAGCATGGCTGAATCACACACACACACACACACACACACACACACAGAGCTGCCTGTCACTTATAATGTGGTATGTTTTGATTTACTGGGATGAACAGCAAGCAGGTTATCAGAAGTCAACACCCAGGAGGTACTATTTGAAATGCATACTGGATAGTCCAGCATACCCTGGTGGTGAGAAATTTGGACAGATCACAAGCTTTAGGTCTGTTCCAACTCTAAAATACCACTTTATGTCAAAAAATGTTGTGCTGATAGAGAGCCAGCATTTTATCATATCATCATGACAGAATTCAGAGAAGAAATTTCTTAAAGAACCACTGGTGATGTCCAGATTTTGCAGGAGTGCCCTCTAAGGCATAAACCTCGGATATCATAGGCTTAGATTTTTGTCCTTATCAGAAATCCCTGCATGGAGAGTTGAAGAAGTCCTGGGTTTTGGAGCCTCTATTCAGGATAAGAGGTTTGACCACTGAGTGGCCTTGGCTGAAAACTTACCCAAGGAATCCAAGTCTTTAATGTCTAAAGTGAGGATTGTCATACTTAGCTCAGAAAGGTCCCTGGAATTGTCCCTAAGAAGGGAGAAAACATTTGTCTCCTTATCTTTCTTTTGCCACAATTCGTGGACTGGGGTAGACTTGCTTAATTGTTTAACACCAAGAATTACATAACAACACCAAGAATGTACATAACTTACCACCAAGAATGTACATAAATGTTAGATTATTTTAGTAAAGTGAAACTTTAGAACCTTTCCTTCTTCCTGATTACTTGCTGTGCAAATCATCACAATGAAGAACTTACTTATAAACTGCCCCAAAGTTCCTTAAACGTTTTGAATCAACTGTCGACTTAAAAAATATGCACAATCTAAAAGTTGAGAGTTATGTTTTATTCAGTGGGAATTTTTAGGACTTCAAGCCCAGGAGACAGCATCTGAAGTGACCCTGGGAGAACTGCTCTGAAGAGGTGAGGGAAGGAGCCAGGTTATGTAGAGGTTTTGCCACAAAGTCCAGGGAGTCTGAATGTCAAAAGATGCTTGTTGATTAAAGAGAACCAGATCTCCCAAGTTAAGGAATTTAGCACTTCTCTGTGTATGGAAAGATGCAAGAGTCTGGGCTCATTGAAATCATTCCTTTTCTATGCACCTCATCTCTCTGGGGCCAGTATCCTGTGTTTTTTACATCCTGAACTTCCTTGGGGCTCACTGTAGGGAGTGAGCAGGGAGTGGCAGGCTGATGCCTGCCAGCAGGCGGGTTTTCTTCTCCTTCCTGGGTATCCTTAGGGCTCACCAGCTCATATTGGAGGTCTGCAATTGCTGATGACTGTGACATCCTTACTTACCGATAGGGCAGGAAATGCTTCATTTCTCACAACTAGCCACAAACAATAATATTTTTAACATGGAACACTGGTGACTGGTAACAGAAAGCAACTTGGGCTGGTTTCAGGAAAACAGAGTTTATTGGAAGCATGTTGGATTGCCTCTAGAATCAACGGCAAGCTAAAGCAGAAGTTCTAAAAGTGTCGTCTAGGGCTCCTGGGGTCCCTGAGACCCTTCCAGGGAAACTGCAAAGTCAAAACGAATGGTTTAATAACAGTAAGATGCTATTTGGCTTTTTCATTGATGATACAAAAGCTATTGTGATGAAAACTGATGCTTTAGCATGAATTAAGACAAACTATACTCATAGTAATTGCATTCCTTATGACCATGCACAGCAGGAAAAAAAGAGTCACTTTCACTTTATTGTGTCCTTGACAGAGTCATGAAATGATTAAACCCTGACCCTTGAGAAGGGAACATTTTGCTGTCAGATGTGATGAAATGAGAAGTATGCATAAACCGCTATTGCCGCAATCTGAGCCATGATGACTGTCTCCAGATAAAGCACGTATGCAATTCTTAGAGCTGTAAACTGAACTAGCCACTTTTTTCATGGAATGTCACTGTTAATCAAGAGTGCCTGACAAACTTCAGACCTGGTCCTTGGCAGTGCCTGCTAAGTCGCTTCAGTCATGTCTGACTCTTTGCAACCTATAGACTGGAGGCTTCCAGGCTCCTCTGTCCATGGGATTCTCCAGGCAAGAATACTGAAACAGGTTGCTATTACCTCCTCCAGGGGATCTTCCTGACTCAGGGATCAAACCTGCATCTCTTATGTTTCCTGCCTTGGCAGGCAGGTTTCTTTACTACTAGCGCCACCTGGGAAGTCCCAGGTCTTTGGAGAGCACTTTCTCAAAAAATGAACAAGAATGAGTCTGTCATTTCAAGGATAGTTACTGATAGTATTGTAACCAATGATAAAATTCAAACCTTCAAGCTAAAACCTGAATTTTGAGGAAAAACTTGTCAATTAGGAGACTTTCTACTGTGAGCTGAACAACTTCCTAATACTGCAAGACTTTTCTGATGAGCTTGGTGGTATCTTTTATATTATATAATGAAATATGTCAAAATTTGGAAGATCTGCTTAAGTCAGCAAGCCAGTTCTTTTCTACATGGCCAAAGCACAATGTTACAAAATTATATCTGGCTGAAAGTTCCATTCAAAGTGCAAGATAGACCAATGGATTTCAA